AAGGTTCATAGGGTGTATTTTCAAAAGAATATATGCTTAACTCAACTAAATTGTTATTTTAAAACTCATTGAACAAGGATAACTTGGGACAAGGTGGATTGAAAACCATATGCAGATTGTACTTGACTAATGACTATTCATTTAATAACTATTCAAACTTATGATAGCACTGAAAGAAGTGACTTATGAATAATCTTTGCACTTACGATCATTGCAGCATCCTTCAGTCATGTGATCAAAATTTGGGCACAGCCTACTATGGAAGAATGGATACTCAAGGTGTCTAATTTAGCAGAAATGGCAAAAATCTCTGCTTATTTGAAGGACTATTCACAAGAAAGATATATTTCGGTTTGGAGAAGATGGATAGATTATATTCAGAATAAATATGAGACTAAAAAGTATTATCTAGCTTATGAGTAAATTTTAGATTATTATTAATAGTTTAATATGGTTGAATTTATATTAGTTTTAGTATCATGGTTTAATTATATTATTATTTTCGTTTTTAATTTGTTAATATTTATCTTGAAAAGGAGTTAAAGTATGTTATGGATTTGATTGTTAGTATAGTTGGGTAATGTTAGTTAGATTATGATTGTTTATTTGTAACCCTGTAATCAGCTCTGGGAAGTGGGGGAGGGGGGGAGGGGTAGGAGGGATTTGGGATATATATTGTATAAAATCTTTAAAACTTTTAATAAAAAAAATTGGGCACAGCAACAAGTGTGTATTTATGACAACTGTAGCATCCCAAGATCATGAGATCACCATTTGTGACATACTGTAAAGAGGTCATGGTGAAGGAAGTAATACTTGTGAGATTCAGTTGTAAAACTCTTGATCTGGATTCAGATTAAGATGCTTTCAGATTGGACAAACTTCACCCTTCACACTAAGTCAGGGTCTTTTTACCATAAGACATTGAACAAGTTTGATTTTTACATATAACCTCAACTTATAATCAGCACATCATACCAGAGAAGTCTATTGGGGGATGAAAAAAGTCAAAACTTTGTTTGAAATGCAAATTAAATCTATCTTTTTTGTTTGTTGACATAATGAGTATACACAAAGGAGTAGGGCTTCGATTATAAGGTTGCAACTGTGAATTTTGATTTTCTTAACCTCCCCTTCATATGCAGTTGTATTATACATCAAACTAAGACAAAATCTAACATACCTTTCCACAGTTTGGAACAATGTTTTAACTAAGCCTTAATGACATATTATTTGTAAAAAAGCAATCTGTTTACAATCTTGGATTTGCACATATGCACAAAGTGTTAGCCCTTGGTTATTTTTGTGCAGAGAAGTCTTTGCCGTATATTCTTTTTCAACCCATCAGACCCACAGTGACATTGGATTCAGGAGGAATCAAAATTCCATAAGGTAGTAAGGACCTTTAATTTAATAAAACAAGAACGCTGTACGATTAAGCTGTTGATTGTTTTCTTCCTGTGCCTCCACTGTATATCTAACTTTGCATGTTAGCATATGTGTTTGCTCTGTATACCTTTTTCACATTCTCAAACCACTTTTCTTTTTCCATAAAAATCTTTGGACATGGGGTTAAGAACTCCTGATTTGGCACATATTCATTTTTTTCAGGATGAACTATGAACCAAGTTGGCAGCCATTTTACGAAAACAGCCATTTTATGACATTTATGTTACTTGATCCAAGAACTGGCACAGAGGCAAGATTCTATGATGAGTCACCAAAGCAACAGGTTTCTAGGATGAGAATAAACCATTATGCTGCTAAAAGCAAATATTGGCAAATTGGAGGTAAAGGGGAAAAATGACTGCCAAGATACAAAATGGCATAGCCAGTCAAGGTATTTTGGCAAATGAAAAACTTTCCCTCTCCAGGGAAGTCATTTTTTTTTAAAAAAATTAACGCATTAAATAACCAATGATCTGATAGTAAGATTTAGAGGATTGGTCTAGAATATTGTTTAAATTTAAAGAAGAGCATCTAACATGGAAACTTGAGAAAATAAAAAAGTAAAACCTAGGATTTTCTCAGTTGTTTCATGTAAAAAATGTGAAATTTGGAGAAATTATACCAAAATTAATTTAATGTAATGTGAACTGTCTAAAACCTTAAAAGTAGTACACATATAATATGCACACACGAAATTATGGGATGTTTGTAGTGTTAAGCAAAATATAATGTAATGTAATATAATTTAATATAATACCTATTATGTAATATAGTAATAGTAATGTACTATTATATACTATATATTACTGCTATAAGTATGATGTCCCCAAATTCAAGGATCATCAAGTGGAACTAACTGATAACACTCATAGTTAAGTCTGATACCTTGAGAATGACCTCTCATATCTTAGAGAAATAACAGGTCATGTGATAAATTCTTTACATTTAAAAATGGATTAATTTGTAGCTTTCTTTTTTTTTTTTTGGGCCTGGACAATAGAAAGTCACTTTTGCTAATGAAGGATTCTACTTTACTCAGTATTCAAGTTCCCCCAAGTTAAGGCTGGCAACATAAGAAATTAAAATAATTTCTGTTCCCTTTGGATACCTACCCTTAAACTGTCTTTTGACATGCGATTGAGCATGTGCTAACTTCAAGCATCACCTATAGCAACATTACACAGTCTTTAACTCCTAGAATTCTCAAAGCTACATGGTCATAGCTGAGAATTCTGGGTGTTGAAGTCCACATATCTGAAGGCCATCAAAGCAGGGAAGGATCACCTAAAGTTTGTTTATTTATTTGTAAAAGTTATTGGCTGTCCATCTTACCACAAGGTACCTCTGGGTGGCTTACAATAGTAAAGTTACAAAAACCTTACAGAGCTTCAGTCACCAGAAGGTCTTATTGTAGAATTGCAATATTTTGATCATAAGAACCATAAAATCATAGAAGTAACCATTTAGACCAGGGGTCTTCAAACTTGGCCCTTTTATGACTTGTGGACTTCAACTCCCAGAATTCCTCAGCCAGGCATGCTGGCTGAGGAATTCTGGGAGTTGAAGTCCACAAGTCATAAAAGGGCCATGTTTGAAGACCTCTGATTTAGACCATCAAGTCCAATTCCCTCAGAAGCCAGTTCGGACTCCATTTGAATTGCATCCAATAAATAGAAGTCAGGTTTTCCTGAGTAATTATTCTTCTCGTTAAAAAAAGTGGGTTTTTTTTTTGTGGGATTGGAAGCTGCCTTCCAGTACTTTAAATCTATCATTCTGAATACTATTTTCTCATGAGAATGGTCTTGGCTTGCTTCTTTTTAAACACATAAGAGTATATCAAATCATCCTTCTAGTTAACTTTTAGTAAAGCTAATTATACCTAGTTCCTTCTATCTGACTTAATTATTGTTCTCTCGTGATCAAGAAGATGCTTTCTAGACGTCTCCCAGATCTCTGTACACTAAAGAGAGATACAACTAGACTTTTCTTCCATCTTTCCAATTCCATGATTTTTACAGCCCTCTTCCTTATGTTGTATCTTTTTGTGAACTTTGTTTGACAGCTTCTTGTTTTGAGTTGTGTATTTATAAGCACCGAAGCAACCAGACCCACATGCTTGGGAGAATTGTGGGTCCAAACGTGGAGGAGAAACTGGCAAAACCCAAGGTGGTGACAGAAATTTTTGTAATAATTCCCATGAGATGTCCCTAGTTCCAAAATAGTCCTGCAGCCGTGTTACACGCTTGGGCAGTTTTAAGATTCCAAGGGACGCTGCAGCAAGTTCATATTCTGAAAGGCCTGATACTTGAGAAGCGTGGCAGGACCATCTCTTCTTTCTTACCTCATCTCAACCATGGATTATCTGTACTAGCTTGGCCTACCTCTTCCTTGGCTTTTGGAATCTTTCACCAATGAAATATTAGCAGATACCGCCTTTCTTTCCTTAGATGGATCAATCACAAGATTTCCACTTGAGCAGAATGAAAGTAGATAAGTCTGCTTCTGCACCTTTGTAGGACACTGCGTAGCAAACATCAGCCATCACAGCTTTGCATATCACATTCAATTTTGTGATTTCACCTGCTGCAAAACTGGAGAGAAAACAAGCACAAACTTATTTCAAGAGAGTATGATAAAAATATGGGGTAGTTTCATTCAGAGAACTTCTATCTACTCTAAAGACAGGTTTCAAAGTTTATCTTTACTAATGGTTCAACTATTTTTTTTTCTTGAAAGTATCTGGAGAGCAGGAGGTGGCTTGACTCTAGAAGACAAAATAATAAATAGAGCTCAAATGGCTGTGGAACTGCAAAGATTTAGAGTCCCTTTTCCTGGATCCAAAGCCTTACTGTTAAATCTTTGGATCCAAAGCCTTACTGTTAAATCATGTCTTTGTACTTAAGTTCTTGAAAAATTTCAGTTCTGCCCTAGTAGCCTGAGGCAGAGGCAAGGATATTTTGGAGTCTATGAACAGGGAGCTCAGTGCTACATAGTGGTTAGTGTCATAAATGATACACACAGATTAATTGAGAAGAACTGGAGTTTAAAAAAAAAATCTGATATGCCTGTTTTAGATCTCACACTACAATTATCATCTGTTTCTTATCCCCAGAGAGTAGAAAAATTTGCTTTCAGTTTTCAATACTCATTGCCAGAGGAAATTGAAAGGTTTGCAATGTCTCATTATAATGAGAGTCTTCTATTTTTTTTAATTAGAACAATATTGGTAGATATGAATTTAAGTGTAACAGGATGTATTAACACATTCGTACTATGTAAACTGGAAAAAGTCCTAAAAACTGATATTGGGAGGCAGTTGCTAGGAGATAGTTGCTAAGAGAACTGAAAGTAAAAAAGAAGAGTTAGAAAAGACAGTTGGAAGAAGGGAAATGGAATGAGAAAGTAATCAGAAAAAGAAAAAAATGCCATCTTCTCTGGAATATGAGAAAAATTATTATCTCAGCTAAAAGATACCATCAGATACTTGCCAGCTTATTATGAAATAGAAAGGCAATGAAAGACAGACAAGATTGGGTGGCCTGCTGTGTTGAAAATTATTATATTTACATCATCCAAGATGCTGTCAGCAAAAATCAAGGTTAATGAAGATGGAACAACTGAAAAAGGTGAGATACCTATTAATTCAAGAGGCAGAGTAAAATTGATTGAATTTTAATAATCATTAGACTACCATCCTATGACTTGTTCGGTCATAATTTCAAAGATATTGCCTTACCAACGGCAGAGTTTTTAAGGTACTGCCGCATTGGAAAAATTCTTAAAAATAAAAGGCATATTTATAGATGTATTGTGAAAATTAGCCCATGTTGAACTGCATATTACAAATATTAGAAATGTTTACAATACTTATGATAAAATGTGGTAATTTTTATGTCATAAAATGTTTTATAAAATTCCACAGGAGTTATGGATTCTGGATTTTGGGCACATTCTGTATATGGTTCAAAAATTGTTGTCCTAAGATGTATTGTTTTGCCCAGTTAAAGATTATACACAGATGAACAGGAGTTTTAGCAGTATATAAATTATATGTAGACCTATCAATGCATTTTAATCAATTTGTCCATTTTTAGGAGCTACACAAATTTGTAACAGCGTGTTTTTTATTTTCTTTGACAATGTATGAAAAGGGAAGGGATTTGAATGCAGCCAACTTAGTAACAATTGACTCTGATTAATCATGAAAGCTAAATGTAATTTCCATGTTCAGAGGCAAGATATCTAAATGTTCAATGCTAGACAAAAAGGACCATGGTAGGAAGGACTGTTATCTTTAGGGATAGAATTTTTGGACCTCCAAAATATTGCTAAACTATATGTTCCAGCAGTTCCAACCAATCTCTCTAATGGTGAGGAATGCTGGGAGGTATAGCAGTATTGAGGGTGATCATTTTCCTATTAATGTGCCCTATTTAGGGACTTCCTGAAGATACTTGACTCCTCACAGGTAGAACAGGATACTAAATTGGAAGGATTCTTAATAACACTTAATAGACATCTGATGTCTCTCAAGAAAAGAGGAAGATAAATAAGATTGACACCAAACTCTCATGTACTTTTCCTATTCCACTATGATTGTTTTCAACTTCCCTATTACAAGGAACATATAATTTCTTTTTAAACACCTTAAAAAGATGGTTATCCTGTAAACCATGATATACTGTAACTTACTACAATGCTAAGGGGACCAACTTTTTTATAACGAAAAGGAGGACACGAATAAATTGAAGAAAAAAATATTGTAAATAAAAGAAACATTGTATTTATTGCAACAATAATACAGAATACAGTATAATATGATAAATGCATAATAAAAAACATTTGTAACAATAATATTTTATATTGTAATTATGCTTACATTCCTATTAATTATTTAAATGAATACTTTTCCATTGAATGAATATTTTTTGTCAATGTATCATCTTCTAACAATATATTGCAAATATATGAACAAGAAATATCCTTCATATTGAATTTTACGGCAAGTGCTGCAGTTAGAGTATCAACATTCAATCTCGATTTCTCACTTATCCAAAAATCTACACGGCTGGACTGCGTGGGGATGGGCGGCGGAGGCAGGTGTTGTGAGCCAGTGCTCCAGGACAGCCACATAGGTGCTCAGGGTGAGGTGGTGGCAGCGCAGGTCAGCTCTGTGTAGACCACCAGCTGGTATGGCCCATGGAAGGTCAACTGCCCGCCGCGCCCCTGCCCACAGCTGCCCTGCCAGCACCACTTCCCTGCCATGGAGAGCTGGCCCCATGGCTCGCAAAGCACCAGCCACGCCAGCTACGGCCCTGCAGCCGCCCCCCCAGCCATCCCCCAGCACTACCACCCACCCTGCACATCCCCGTAGAACTGGTACCGCGGCTCGCAAAGGCAAAGCACCAGCTGCCCCAGCTCCGGCCCTGCAGCTGCCCCCCAGTCACCCCCCAGCACCACTGCCCACCCTGCACATCCCCGTAGAGCCGGCCCCGTGGCTCGCAAAGCACCAGTCGTGCCGGCTCTGGCCCTGCAGCCACCCCCCAGTCGTCCTCCTGCACCACCGCCTACCCTGTGCATCCCCATGTAGAACCAAACAGGGAAGATCAAGAGAAACTTACTGCTCCAGTCTCCTCCAGCTATCTTCAGAACTAAGTAGGAGATGGTGTAGTTGGGTAGCAGTGAGGGGTGCAAAGTTCCTGCAACTTGCACGTGCAAAGTTTGCCGCCCGGGTGTTTTGGCGCGCTCAGCAGCAATTCCTATTGACTTTCGAAAGCCAATAGGGGGAGTAGCACAGCTCATGCAAAAGTTGAAAAAAACCATCAAAAAAAGGTTCCGGAACGCCTTCTGAGCGTTCTATGAGGGGAAAAAAGCCCTGCAGATTAGTCTTCAAGTATAGAAAAAGAGGACAATTTAGAAGGACACTTTTCGAGGGAGGACAGAACTCACAAAAGGAAGACTGTCCTCCCAAAAAGAGGACGGTATATGGAAAAGAAGGACATTTAGGAGGACACTTTTTGAGGGAGGACAGAACTCCCAAAAGGAGGACTGTCCTCCCAAAAGGAGGATGGTTGGTCACCTTAACAATGCACTAGAGCAGTGTTTCCCAAACTTGACAATTTTAAGGCATGAGGACTTCAACTCCCAGAATTCCACAGCCAGCAACGCTGGCTGTGGAATTCTGGGAGTTGAAGTCCACATGCCTTAAAATTGTCAAGTTTGGGAAACACTGCACTAGATACATCAATATTTGTTTATTTTTATTTTTGATTTGATTTTTATTTATGTTTATTATTTTAATTGTCACTGCCCTGGGCATTTTCTTCTATATGAAATTAATAAATAAATCAGGTTTTTGCAGTGTATGGAGCTGAATATTAAAGGCCAGTTGTCATCATGTTACTGTGAGTTCCTTTTTCAGAAATTAGAATACAGGTAGTCCTCAACTTATAATCACAACTGGGGTCAGAATTTCCATTGCTAAGCAACCTGATTGTTAAATAAGGTGTGCCCGATTTTACCTTTTTTGTTAAGTGAATCATGCTGTCAGTAAGTGAATCCAACTTCCCTCATTGATTTGGTTATAGGAAGCTAGCTGGGATAGGTAACAAATAATGATCACATGATCCAGGACATTGTAACCTTGGTAAATACATGCTAGTTACCAAGCACCCAAATTTTGATCATATCACTGTGAAGTATTGTAAGATTTTTTTCAGTGCCATTGTAACTTTGAACAGTTGCTAAATAAATGGTTGCAAGTTGTAAGTTGAAGACTACCTGAATGGTTGCTAAATGTAGGTACTCTATTTTCCATTACTACTAATTATCCCAGTTTCCTGTTTCTTTTTCTTACTTATATCCACCCTCCATGATAAATCTTTAAATATTAATTTAAACTTCTTCCTTTACAAAGGACAAAAGAATGGAGCCCTTGCTAGAATAAACTGTTTCTTCATGTACCTAGGATATACAGTTTATTCTCTTCAGCTCTCAGTTTATTTCTGCCTACTAGATGGCTGTTTAAGGCACAACTGCAAAGATCAGATAAGAAAATTACAATTTCAGCCAATGCCAATCTTATACTCCCACAATTTCCTACTTGCCCACCTCACCCACTTTTTAGTAATTCTCTTTTCAAGCTCTACGTCTGATTGATTTGATTCTCTTTTCAAGCTCTACATCTTCAGTTGTGATACTTCTTTGCAATAGCTAGAATGTTATCCCTATGTAATAATATGAGCTTCCCACACCTCTTGACAAAATAATTTTCAGTTTTTTCTCATAAAACTATTTACTTTGTTGGTTAACATTCTGTGACTAATTCTGTATCTGTGGTCAAACATCTTTAATTTCATATCAATTTTGCCAGTTCTGTCTGAATTTTGACAATATTTGAAGATGTGGGTACTTCAATTGCCAGAATTTCCCAGCCAGGTTGGCTAGGGAATTCTGAGAGTTAAAGTCTACACATCTTAAAGTTACTGAAATTGAGAGACAGTGTCTGAGCCTAAGGATCTTATCTTACAGATGAAAGATAATATTCACACATAAGCACACAAGTACTACTGTAATGAAACAGGTCTATAACTAGGATTCCTCAAGATCATCAAAGACTTCACTTAACTTTTTACATTATGCAGATGAAGTTTTAATGGATAATAGTAGATTGCAAAAGATTGCTAGTTTGCTTAGTGGTAAAATACTAGTCTAAAAACCAGGACTATCTGAGTTCCAGTCCTGCCTTTGCCATACAGCAGCCAGCTAGGTGCTTTGGGCCAGTCACTCTCTCTCAGCTCTAAGAATTGACAAACCACTCCTGAAAATATTGCCAAGAATACTGCAAGGACTTAGCTAGGTAGTCACCAGGAATTAAAACTGTCTCAAGTCCCTGCTCTGCCCTCCACAAAAAGGGAAATAAAGGATCTACCCTGGGACCCTTGTCAGGAAGTTACAAAAGTCAAAATAGTGGCCATGACTGTGTGTTGAAGCCTAGCTCCCTTTTATTTTGCATGCATGGGTTAAAACAAGTAGGGCTTCAATCAAATAGTCACAACTACCATTTTGCCTTCCCCCCCCCTCATCAGCCCATCTCCAATGATTCCCTTTTCTGCATATCACAGTGCTGTAAAAGAGAAGAAGACTAATTAAACTGCTGTTGGTGTGAAAAATTAGTATGTATTTTTGAGTTTTCTGCAGGGCTTTTTTTCTCATAGAACGCCCAGAACGGAGTTCCGGCATCTTTTTTGGATGGAACTTTGTAGGGTAGGCAAGGCGGGTTGTATGATGTGTGTGAGTTCCGGCACTTTTTTTTTTTTAATAGAAAAAAAGCACTGGTTTTCTGGATTGAGGAACAATGGTTTCTTGTCCTGCATTCCAGGTATTAATTAAGTAAAATAGTTGTGCTTTAAAAACTCTGTCTTCCTTTTGCGTATGTTGTAGCTTTAATATCTATTAATATTATGTTTTAGATTTTTACTATCATGTACATGTTTTTCCTCTTCCTCTCTAGCATCACCTTAGGTTGATACAACACAATCAACTAGAATAGTCTGTTTGGATCTGGCTTAGCATCATCTATATCAGTGTTTCTCAACCCTGATAATTTTAACATATGTGGATTTCA